TATAGTAGTTGTCCGGCTCTGACCACTGTTACCACTCTCTGTGTTTGCATTGCTTTCACTTTGACTTGCATTCAATGAAGGGTTACTTTTACTCAAATCTAATGTATTCGGTATCTGTTGCAACCCATCCATTGATTCCTCATTTGATAACTCAATTACTTTAGACATTGTGTTATCTAAATTTATTTAATATTAAAAACATTTTTGTTTATATTATATTTTATTCAAAACTAATCATTATTTCGCTAACAATAGATCCTGATAACTTCAGAAACTCAGTAAAATTAATTATATCAAATTATATAATTAATTATTCTGCAATCCCCAGGTACAATTAATAGAATCACGTGGTTTTAAAGCGGAAACGCACTCGGTAACAACCGGCGATGGCTATATATTGACTATATTTCGTATAGTAAACCCGTATAATAACAAGTTAGACAATAAGCCAGTAATTATATGGCACGGTCTGACTTACAACTCAGACTCCTGGCTTATGTCAACACCCGGCCAATTGAATGTCAACGGGGTATATGTTGAAAATGATCATAAGTTTAATGATTGTCAGCATTCAGTGACCCAGAATCTAGCGTTTACGCTGTCCGCTTGTGGCCACGATGTATGGCTGCCCAACTTTAGAGGCACCGGCTATTCAACCGGCCATCAGCTCTTGGATTCTGTGTTCAGTATATTTGTGTTTAATGAAAATATTTATTTTGTTATAATTGTGTTCAGTTAATTAAAATTAATTTAAATTTTTTAAATTTATATTATTTCATTTAGATCGCACGTACTGGGAGTACACGTTTACTGAACTAGGTTTATATGATGTACGGGCAGTGATCGAGTATGTGCTCCGGGTAACCAATAAAAGTATCATTATTTTATTAACTAACGACTTTCGCCGCATATAATTGCATGCAATTATATCTAGATTTTAGGCAAATTTCAAAAGTTCTAAACCAGTGCAATTATATCCGGATACAATTGCCCCCATATTAAAAACTCACATATAATTGCCCCCAAACGCTATACACATTTATTGGTTAGCTATTCCAACAATTTTATTAATGAAATGTTTTCGTCTTTATCAGTTAGTAAAATTTTTGTTTATATTAATTTTAAAGTTAAGTATAACTAAAGGCTATAAATTCTCTTGTCAAGGGTAGATAGCTACAAAAGTAAGACAGAAGATAACGGTGGGTATGCTGTATATTTTGACGGGAAGTCTTGAACCTAATAGCCGTCGATCGCTTATTAGATTCATTGGCCTTAAACCACTTAATGGCCGACAGTTTGGTAAATAGAGTGAATGACTTGCGGCCGACTTTATCATTGCATTTAGTAGTTGTCCGACTCTGACCACTGTTACCACTCTCTGTGTTTGCATTGCTTTCACTTTGACTTGCATTCAATGAAAGGTTACTTTCACTCAAATCTAATGTATTCGGTATCTGTTGCAACCCATCCATTGATTCCTCATTTGATAACTCAATTACATTAGACATTGTGTCACAAATACCTGACACTCATTCACATTAAACAAAAAGTACACCAATTGATAGGAAAGGGAGGCATATAATTCACAATTGTTTGAAAATCAGTTTGAAATGTCAATTTATAATACACTCAAACTCCCGTTGATATACACTTAAAACTATTTACGGATTTACTATCGTTTTGACTCCCGTTGAGATAGGCCTATATTAACGGGGGGACTTAGAGATCTAGATATAATTGCACTGCAATTATATGCGGCACAAGTCGTTAATTATAATTATTCAAACATGTCAAATATATAACATTTTAATACTTTTTGCCAGACTCTGTGGGCTATATCGGGCACTCATTGGGATCGACGGCAATGTTTATACTGTTATCTCTGGCGCCGGACTTTGAGCGCTACGTCCGGCCATTTGTAGCGCTGGCGCCGTTCGCCTTCATGTCACACATGACCAGCACTTTACGTCTAATCGCACCGTCAGAGCCAATGCTGAGGTATTTATATCAAGCATTATGCAAATTCTCATTATAAATAAATCAGTAAATCACCACTTAATTTATCACGTATATAATTAATAGAAAATATGCATTACCAATGGGTATACCGGTGCCAATCGCCCAGTTTATAGGCGTCTGTCTGTGCGGTAACCAATACTTTCAACAATTGTGCGCCGATATATTTTTCTATACGACCAGTGGTCGCGATCCCAGCAATTTAAACATTGTAAGACAACACGTGTTTCAGTATTTTTAATTATGATTTATAAACATAAAACATTTTATAGACTCGGATACCGATTTATATAAGTCATAACGGAGCAACATTTAGCACGTGGGTGTACGCCCATATGGCACAGTTAATACAGGCCGGTGGCTTTAGACTGTTTGACCATGGTGTTGCCGGCAACCTGCAGAGGTATGGCCAGTCCCGGCCACCGGACTATCCATTATCGAGCATTAGGTCCAAAAATATAGCCATATTTTATGGCAACAATGATTTGATAGCAAACATTACTGATGTCAGGACTCTTATCAGTAAACTTAAGGGTATTTATATTTACTTTTATAACATTTTATTATAAATTTTTATGATTTTAATATTTATTTTTTGTTTCAGTTCCACTTTTGGACAATTACGAAGTGCCCTATAATCGCTGGTCTCATGATGATTTTAATCTTGGTATAAATCAGGGACATTATATCAATAAGAGAATTTTGGGTTTGTTGCGTCTATTTAATTAGAATTTAGAGCATTTACATGCAATTTTACAATGATGGTGTAAATGTACTGCAATAACAAATATTAATATTACGTTTTATTAATAAACTAATAAATTTTTGCAGTGATATTACACTGAATTAATTACATTAAATAACTTTAAAAGACAGAGACAATGAAATAATAAAAAATTTATCATTGTCTTTTACACCTATCATGCAATAAAAATAGCTATTTTTACTTACATTAAACACTTTTTACGACACAACAAAATAATTACCACAAAATACGGGACACAACGCAAAACAACCACCAAAAATGACTAACAAAATACTAACTATAATATTACTAATACAAGTAACTAATGTCATCCACGGGTCATACATCGACCTACCGGTGCCTCAATCTAACCAGTGTTGGTCACTAAACACCACCAAATGGGAAGTGGAAGTGTGTCGCAGGGATGCCATATTCAAGTGGGATGTGTACCTGCATATAGACCCGGACGACGATACAGTCAAACCCTATTGTTGCGCTCATTACGAGTATTTTGATTGCGTTAAAAAAGTGGGTCGAATGCAGTGCAAGAATCAGACTGAATCCAATGAGATTACCAAGGTGGCCGATACTAACCAAGATCAAATGGGCGGGAAATGGTGCCAGGACAAATATAGCCATGGTTCGTGGAAGTGCGAGATGCCTGTTTGGGGCACTGTATTGTGTTTCGCTGGCTTTTTGCTCGGTATGGGTCTATTGGCTTATGTGTTGTTTGGTGTGTTTAAGTTGCAGGGTTAGTTATGTATTTGATTATTGCTATTTTAGTAACTAAAATTTTAAGTGCATAGAGAGAATATTTAACAAAAAAATATATTAATATGATTGGATTAATTAAATCAATATTTAATAGCTTGTCATTTTAATATTTACGTTTAATAAAAAATTTTATTTTTACTGATTAAATACTACAAAAATTAATTAATATTGTAAATTTTTACAAATTTGTATTTTGCTTATTTAATATATTTATTTCTATAATTGTTTGTCATACAAATGTTATAATAAATAATAAAAGTGAAACATTAAAAATCATAATTTTAGTTTAAATTGTAATATAAAAACCTTATTTATATTATTAAACTGTCATTTTATATAATTATAAATGTTGACAATAAAATCAAAATTATTTAGCTTGACATATGGAAAAAGAGCCTCTCATTATAAAGTATTTTATATTTTGTTATGAATCATAATAATAATGAATTAAATTAAACATCATATATTAATATTTTTATTTTATGCTTATAATAATCAACTAAACAAAAAATTTTACAATTAATTATAAAATTTTAGTAAAACAATTTTATATAAATTTATTATTGGTACTTTATCAAATAATTAAGTTTTAATTGATAATTTAATTCGTAATTTACAACTTTACTTATTATTATAGTAGTTTAGTATTTGTTTGTAATTTTATTAATAAAGTAATTAGTTAACTTTAGCTAATTAATTAATTATTACAAATTTAATTTAACATGTTTTACAATAAATAATGAAAACATTTGTGACAAATCATTTGTCACATAAAAATATAATATTTTAAGTGCTTATTGTTATCTGAAACGACTGTTCCCTCCAATCCTAAGCATACCTGTGCGAGTATGACTAAAGCGCCTCGGTCACAATGCGCCTCGGTCACAATGCGTAACTAAATTTTCCACTAATTTGCAAATATTAAAATTTTTAAATATACACATTTATTTGATTTTGTAATAATACATTTATGTTTGTATAAAAAAAAATTAATCTAAATTTTTAATTTAATAAAAATATTTACAATTTTTATTTTACAAATTTTATTACAAATATAAATGTTTTATTACAAATCAAATAAATGTGTATATTTAAAAATTTAAATATTTGCAAATTAGTGGAAAATGCCTAACGAGGCACTTTCTATCCAAGCACTTGCGTCGGTACAGATAATTACCGCCAATACTGTAGTCAATTTCATATAATTGTTGTAAATATCTCTGTATTTCGTTTATGTTTTAATTGTAATATTATATAATATAACGTTTTGTTTAAATCTTTGGTGAGTCGTAACTCTCCAGTCCTTGTCGTGAACAACATTAACGGCTCAACACTTGTGATCATTTCAGACAATGCGCTCATATTTGCCGTCTGTTTGGGTATAGATTGAAACAAAGGATGTGTTACGTATTGAACATTATATGAATAAAATAAACTGGGTATTTCTTTATGTTTGGGAAATATTATGAGTATGACTAAAGCGCCTCGGTCACAATGCGCCTCGGTCACAATGCGTAACTAAATTTTCCACTAATTTGCAAATATTAAAATTTTTAAATATACACATTTATTTGATTTTGTAATAATACATTTATCTTTATGACAGAAATGGCAAAATAAAAGTAGTGGTCAAACTAGACATGACTCACTTCTTTGGCTTTCAGTGCAGCCATTTTTAATTCAAAGTCATTGAACAGCCGGCCGAAAAATGGTCAATAGTTACCAATTATTATGACCAAAACATTATATGAAATAAATCGTTGCTTCATATTAAAAATATAATTTAAAATTTTCATTACCAAAATATGATTACTTTCCCGAAGGCGTAATATCAGATATTGTATACATACTGAATAATTATTTATATAAATACCTATACAAAATTTGCAAACTATTCATTTCCTAACGCAAAAAAATAAAACATTACACAAAAAGTATATTATAAAATGTTTATTCCGGTAATACTATCGCTGGTAATAGCCATATGTGCGGCGCCGGCACTGATCACCGGCAGTCCCTTTAGTGACCCCCACTTTAAGGACAACCGGTCAGTGATTGTACACCTAATGGAGTGGACGTACAACGAGATAAGCAAAGAATGTGAACTATTTCTGGGGCCCTATGGGTACGGAGGAGTACAGGTGTCGCCCGTAACCGAGGTGGCAGTCCTACCACGTAGGCCGTGGTGGGAACGCTACCAACCCGTCACATATGAGATCAATGGCCGGTCGGGTGACGAGAAAGCGTTCGCCGATATGGTTGACACATGTAATAAAGTCGGGGTTAGGATCTATGTTGATGTGGTGCTCAACCATATGACTATGGCTGAGCAAGGTAAATTTATTTATAAACCATAATACTCTAATACAATTTAATTTTACCTAGTATTATAATTGTATTTATTTTGTATTCAAAACCAGGGGTAGGCACAGCTAATCACACTTACAACGGCAAAGAGTTCAAGTATGATGGGGTGCCGTACACTCACCTGGACTTTCATCAACACCCGGCCTGTCCCACACCGGGAGACAATCTGAACATCCGGGACGATAAGTACGACGACCCGATTGAGGCCCGCAATTGCCAATTGGGAGGACTCCGGGACTTGGATCAGGGTCGGGATTGGGTGCGACAGAAACAGGCACAGTTACTCAACAAACTGACCTCGCTCGGTGTGGCCGGTTTTCGATTGGACGCGGCTAAAGAAATGTGGCCAGGTGATTTGCACAATATTACCACCCGTTTGACCGCGTTGAACACAAAATACTTTCCTGCTGGCAGTCGACCGTTCATTTACAACGAGTTCATATCGGGCGAAAAAGTTAAGGCTACAGAGTATACGCCGTTGGGTCGGGTGATCGAGTTCAAAAACTACGACAATTTGGCCAGGGTGTTTCGCAAGTTGGGCGACAAACGACTGAGCTATTTGCGTAACTATGGACCGGGCAAACAGGGCTGGGGTATGTTGCCATCGGACGACGCGTTGGTGTTTGTGGACAACCACGACGTCCAACGCGGACACATTGGCGACATCACTGTTACGCTCACCTACTTTGACGCCCGGCTACTGAAAATGGCCACCGCTTTCATGCTTGCCTGGCCTTATGCCGTGCCTCGCATTATGAGCAGTTACTACTGGCCCAGGAATGTTCAGGTAATGCCAGCACATAAATTAATTAACATATATTAATTTATTACTAATTACCATATGTTTACCACTGAGACAGAAAGTGAACGATCAATACAAAGACTTAAACGATTGGATGGGTCCGCCACACGACTCACAGGACCGGATAGTAGGGGTTCAACGTATGCCAGACCTGAGCTGTGATCCCAAAGTGTGGATCTGTGAGCACAGGTGGCGTCAGATCTATAATATGGTTAAGTTTAGAAATACGGCCGGATTTGAACCGGTGTTCAATTGGTGGGAGAATAAGTACCACTCGATTGCCTTCAGTCGCGGCCACAAAGCCTTCATAGCCATCAACAATGACGACCACCCCATCGATCAACAGCTCAACACTGGACTCCCGGCCGGCACTTACTGTGATGTCATATCAGGCAATATTGTTGGTAAGTGACCGAGATTTTAATCTGATAATCATGATGCAATGACATATCAAACTAATCACGTGTTTATAAATAGGGGGTAAATGTGAGGGCAGACAAGTAGTGGTGGGAACGGGAGGAATGGCACACATAGTGGTGGACAACAAATGGGAAGATCCTATGCTTGCCATACATATCAACGCTAAACTTTAAACAAACAATTAATTATTTATATAATTTTTCTGGTCACTTTTATAAATATGTTAAAATATGATTATATTTTTTATACATCATACATTACAAATGTTTTTAAAAAAAACTTTATTGTTGGAATAATTAAATTATTATGAAATTTATTTAACATTATACATGTATTTTATTATATTTTATTACAAATAATTTAAAACTATTTATACTTATAATTAGTTATATAATAAATACAGACATGGTAATATATTTATTTATCGGGATTAAGTAATATTAATAAATATGTATATTTTATAATTAGGGATAAATAGGTACAGGATTAGGGAGCCCACACTCGGTACTCCAATTATCAGGTACAAAAGGATTCAAACTTTTAGCAAACATGTTGAAACTACATGGACCAATTGGTTTATTATGGACACAACAGTTGGGTAAATTTACCACAAGCCATTTAAAATAGCCAATCTTGGTGCTGTCGGCGTAAAACACCTTAACGGTATAGTTGCCTTTAATTCGGTGCAACTCAAACACCAGTGCCGAGCCATATGAGGGTAAAATAACTTTACCATTCAGTACACGATACAAAAACGCTATGTCTGTATCGTGGGTCAGGTAGTGGTACACTTTAAGCCTGGTCGTATTTTTCACCATAGCTATAGTAGTATTCATATTAGCAATTAAAGTGCCAATGAGAGGGCCGGCACGTAGGCGCTGCACCGACACCGTATTGGTAGCCAGGGTGACTTCCTCGAGCTGAAAGCCCCGGAGCTCAGCCATTGTTTTGCTAACACCCATCTCCTTGAGCCACGGGGGCGGGGGTTTGGGGTAATCTAGCTCGCAGAACACCGTGTCGTACAGGCTGGCCAATGATTGCACCGTGGTAAAATTGTCCCGGGTTAAATTCTGTACCTGTGTTATAAACGCCTTGTGCTCTGCCATGTAATTAGTGGCCGCGCTTGACATCAATTGCTGTGTTTGCGCGCTCTGGGCGTTGGGACAGGTGGCCGACGCCTCCAACAGAGCGTCTATAGTCGCGGGCACTGTCTCGACGGCCATGGGTTGCCACTCGTGGGCCAATTGTAGTTTCTTGTCCCACACCCACCGACCCTGGGGTTTATACATACCGGCCGCTACTGAATAGGCGCTCTCCAGACACCGGTCGGCCGACGCCGAGCGTTGATATATTGTTTTGGGCGACACTCCCAGCCATTGGCCGTATCGGTGCCGAAATAGTCGGCCCGTTTCGTACATACGGTGTTTGCCTTTGGGTGTGAGTGCGCCCAACCCGTCCGGCCACGTGTCGTTGGCGTAGGGGTCGTGTGGGTAGAAACTGGTCGGTGTCCGGTCGCCGTGCCGTTGCACTATCTGTACCAATACTAGGGTAGATGTGGTGTATGGGCTGCTGTTTTCGTATTGATACGTACAGTGAATGGTCATAATATAACCAAGTAATATTGGTAATATAATGTTTGTTGCAGCGATCATGATGTACTGTAAACAGGATATTTTACTTTATATTTTCTAATAATAAAATCTAATTTTTATTTATTTATTTATTACTAATTTATTTAAATTAAAAATATTTTAGTTACCTCATTTAGTTTGCAGATAATTTATAAATTAATTTGAAAAATAACACAATGTAAATATTTTATACTTATTTACATATTTTAACATAAAATATAAATAAGTGAAAGCATTCAAACAGTTGCAGTAAAACATACAATTAAAATGTAAAATGTATAAGAAATTCACTGCACTAATCTTATATACATATTTTTGGCGCAAAACTAAATAAAAAATTAATGATTTAACATAAAAATATAGGACCAAATAATGTCAAATAACGTTCAATAATTACCCGGATGCGAAAACTTTAAAATATTATGTTAACATATGCCTAAAATGATATTAATGCTACAGTGATATACATATTTTATATTAGTGTCAATTTATTATTATGCAATATATTATAATAAAAAGAGGTGCCTATCATTTTTAACATTCATGACATTTTTATTTATTAGTTTTATATATTTAATTTATTATAAATTATTAAGATATGTCAATTAAATTTTAACTAATTTAATTAATTATGCTTTTATCAGTAAATTAAAACATTTGTAACATTTAACAGATTTTCCCAAAGCATTAAGTAATCGTTGAACAGAAATAAGTATAACTTTGCGATTAATTTTTTAAAATAAATATACAAAAAATTATTATACGATAATAAAGGCCTTAATAAGTCTGTTCCCATCATAGCATACCTGTGCCAGTAGTTTGCGTATGCCTTTCGTTATGGTATTATTAAATCAAATATATTATCACTTTTACTACTTTTAATCAAATAATAGTCATTGAGATTTACCTCAAGTGTTTTAGCACAACAACAGAACCTATTATTTTCTCAATCATTTCAATTCATTGATTACTAAATATAGTTATGATTGCTTTAAAGCACTTCTCGAGCACTTGTGAGACCGCAGACATACCTGTGCTCAGCAGTTATGCCAATGATTATTGAGCAAAGTGTGAGTGAAAGCACAGGTATGTACTCTCAGGCAAGAGATATGATAATAATAGACACCCGTATATAAAGCCCAACAAAACAGCCAACTATTTATACAATTGTTAAAAAACAATATAACAAAAAAACATATTACAAAACCAATTGTAAAATGTTTAGTCAAGTAATCGTAGGGCTTGTAATAGCCATATGTGCGGCGCCGGCACTGATCACCGGCAGTCCCTTCAGTGACCCACACTTTAAAGACAACCGATCAGTAATAGTACACCTCATGGAGTGGACGTACGCAGAGGTGGCCAAAGAATGTGAGCTATTTCTGGGCCCCTATGGCTTTGGAGGGGTGCAACTGTCACCGGTAACTGAGGTGGCAGTGCTAGACCGTAGGCCGTGGTGGGAACGCTACCAACCCGTCACATATGAGATCAATGGTCGGTCGGGTGACGAGAAAGCATTTGCAGATATGGTCGACAGATGTAATAAAGTCGGGGTTAGGATCTATGTTGATGTGGTGCTCAACCATATGACTATGGCTGAAGAGGGTAAGTGTAAAAAAAATTTTGCTTACAATACTATAATTAGTTAATTATTGGTTTTATATAAACATAGGTAAGGGCACAGCCGGTCACACCTACAACGGCAAAGAGTTCAAGTATGAGGTGCCTTACAGTTACCTAGACTTCCATCAACACCCGGCCTGTCCCACACCGGGTGACAATCTGGACATTCGTAATGATAAGTACGACGACCCGATTGAGGCCCGCAATTGCCAGTTGGGAGGACTCCGGGACTTGGATCAGGGTAAAGAGTGGGTGCGACAGAAACAGGTGGATTTTCTCAACAAAATGATCGCCCATGGTGTCGCCGGTTTCCGGTCCGACGCCAGTAAACACCAATGGCCTCAAGACCTGCAGAATATCACCGCCCGGTTGACTAATTTGAACACCAAGTACTTCCCGGCCGGCGCCCGACCCATGCTCTACCACGAGTATATATCGGGCGAGAAAATTAAGGCCACAGAGTATACGCCGTTGGGTCGAGTGATTGAGTTCAAAAACTACGACAATTTGGCCAGGGTGTTTCGCAAGTTGGACGGAAAAATGCTGAGCTTTGTGCGTAACTACGGCGCCGGACCCCAGGGCTGGGGTATGCTTCCCAGCGATGACTCCCTGGTTATGGTCGACAGCCATGATCTACAACGCGGACACACCGGCGATATCACTGTTACGCTCACCTATTTTGACGCCCGCCTATTGAAAATGGCCACCGCTTTCATGCTTGCCTGGCCTTACTCTATACCTAGAGTTATGAGCAGTTACTACTGGCCCCGGAATGTACAGGTAATACTCATACTTAAATTAATCAATATATAAATTGTATACTAATTACCATATTTTACTATTGAGACAGAAAGTAAACGATCAGTACAAAGACCTAAACGACTGGATGGGTCCGCCACATGACGCTCACGACAACATCGTTGCCGTCGAGCGTAAGCCAGACCTGAGCTGTGATCCCAAAGTGTGGATCTGTGAGCACAGGTGGCGTCAGATCTATAATATGGTTAAATTCAGAAACGTCGCCGGTTTTGAATCGGTGTCCAACTGGTGGGAGAATAAATACAATTCAATTGCCTTCAGTCGCGGCAACAAAGCCTTCATAGCCCTCAACAATGACGACCACCCCATCGATCAACAGCTCAACACTGGACTCCCGGCCGGCACTTACTGTGATGTCATTTCAGGCAATATAGTCGGTAAGTAATCGAGATTTTAATCTGATAAACATAATGTGATAACATATGAAACTAATCACGTGTTTATTAACAGGTGGCAAATGTGAGGGCAGGCAAGTAGTGGTGGGAACGGGAGGAATGGCACACATAGTGGTGGACAACAAATGGGAAGACCCGATGATTGCCATACATATTAACGCTAAACTTTAAAACTTTGTAATACATGTCTGTTATTAAATACAATATCTGTGTTTTGGTTTATATAAAAATAAGAAACTATATGTTTATATTAACTGCTAAAAAATTATATTTTTACTGCCCTGACCTGCAACGGGACTACAGCCCCGTTCATAACGTTGTCAATCACTACAAAATATTGTTTAAATAAAATAAATAAATTTTTATGAACTTTATTTTTAATACACAAAAAATCTGTTTATTATCAAAATAAGTATTACAACATTTATATGACTTCAACAATTGTCTCAACTTTGATCGAGATGGTATCTCTTTTAAACTCATTGACAAATGACCAGATATAAGGACAGATGGCCATGATAAATGCCCACTCAAACATGGCTGATAGAACGTGAGGGATATAACCAGGTTTATCGCTTGACCAATACATTCTAACGTTAATATCAGCTATGTCAAATATATTAGGCAATGCCAAAGCTGACCAACATCCCATAATGCCTGTCATACTAGATAGGACAAATTCCAGGATTGCCAGATAGCGCCGGAATCGTCCGACACCCGGACGTGACTGTGCAAACGCTATCTCGCTTTGAAATATCATATCCATTACTATTGGTCCAAATAGTAATCCGGCGCTCAAACAGTGCATTACTAATATTACTGAGCCCTCGGATGAGCGAAAACTGGCCGCACCTATCAGTCCGCACCCCACTGATAGGCCAGTGAGTAGTGATAGCTTGTTTATTATGGTCAATCGGTTTGCGGTGGTGTTGTTTTGATGATATAATTTGATCTTGGCGTATCTAACAGTACTGGCTATAAGCATAAATGCACCGCCAGAGGCCATAAACAATGTAAATAGATTGGCTTCGGGTGATATGGCCCCCAGATCGCTGATGTATTGCATTATGGCCACACTGTGACCTTGGTAAACTGATAGACCCCATCTATTTAGGTAAATTAAAATTTTAATTTATATATTGTGTAGTTTCAATAGATATAATAGATATAATAGTAGTTAATATAATTAGTGACCTGAAAATGTGTAAATAATGAGTGTTCTATCCCAGAGAAAATGTCAGTTAGTGTACAGCTTATGATTTACAATATTAACAATTGTAGAAATATAAAAATAATTTTTTTTTTGAATATGTTCATTTTGTTCCTTGATAAAACACTCATTATTTACTCATTTTTCGGTCACTAAATATTATATAATTCTATGTATACTGTACGTACATTATAAAAGGGAATATTAATAAATTTATCCCTCCAATAATTGGTATGTAATGTAGAAAATATTTCATTTTGAAACTTGAATGGTGTTTTTAAAAATTCAAACTAACTTAATAATTATTACTGTATTGTGTAAAAACACCATGTATTACTGAATAATGCATAATAAAGTGCTTAATGTAAAAATCAATATCTATTCTGGTATTTTTATAACATTTATTTTTCTATAATATTTGCTTTATTTTAGTGTAGTTTTTGGTATTTGCAAAGTAAACACACTTATAATTACATTATGAGTGCCTTAATATACTAATTAGTTTTATAACTGACTTTATTGTATCGCACAAAATATTTAATAAAATAATTAAAATAAAATTTTGAAAATATAAAATTTTATATTAAGAATTAATACTTAAGTCAGTTATCTTATTACTGTTTTTTATAAAGAAGTTTTATAATTAACATATAATATTAAAATATCAACTTATATTATCAAGGATAATTATTAAATCGATTTATCATTTTTAAAAATGAGATAATGAAAGTCAAACGATATAAAAAGCCAGTGTCCCGATCAATGTTATTGTAGTGCTCCAACTGAATGTTTGAATAGGGTAAGTGTGATTGTAAATGATAATTGTGTGTATAAAACCATGATTAATTAATTATTGCATAAATCAACATAGATAGTGTCATAGTCGGTCACATTAATAATAGCAAGGAATTATAATAGGAAGTGCCGTACAGTTACCTAGACTTTTATTAGCACCCGGCCTGTCTCACACCGGGTAACAATCTGGACATCTATAGCGACAAATACGATGATTGTCTCGGGTGTCCCCTAACTGTCCCTCCCTTTCATAATGTTGTAAATCAACACAAAATATTGTTTAATTTAAATAAATTAATTTTTAATAAACGTTGTTTTCAATTTTAATATACATTTATTTATCTTAAAAAAATATTATATTTAAATCACTTCAACAATTTTATCAACCTTTATCGAGATGGTATATTCTTTAAATTCTACAGCAAATGACCAAATATATGGACAAATGAGCATGATAAATGCCCACTCGGACAACGCAGATAAAACATGTGGAATATAGCCAGGTTTATCGCTTGACCAATGCATTCTAACGTTAATATCAGCTATGTCAAGTATATTAGGCAAAGCAAACGCTGACCAACACAACAAAATGCCGGTCATACCCGCTAAGACAAGTTCTAGGATTGCCAGATATCGCCGGAATCGCCCGACACCCGGACGCGACTGTGCGAACGCTATCTCGCTTTGCAATATCATATCCGCTACTATTGGTCCGAATAGTAATCCGGCGCTCAAACAGTGCATTAATAATATTACTGACCCCTCGGATGAGCGAAAACTGGCCGCACCTATCAGTCCGCAGCCCACCGACAGGCCTTCAAGCAGTGATAGTTTATTGATGATGGTAGTTCGCTTACT